GGCTAAAAAGCCAACAATACTATATGGCATAATGAGTCGCTTTTATACTATATATTTTCCCCTATTCTTGGTATATTTTAGTAATTATTTTGATGAGATTTTGATGCATTGTTATGTATTTTCAATGTAGGACATGCGAATCCATTTTGGGCATAAAGTAATCAGGTGGTGGAATTTTTTAGTGATTCAAATTGGAGCGGGTTCGTGAGTCTGTCAAGAAGGTTGTATCAAAATTCATAATTTTATCCCGAAGCATCTGATCATGGTGAATTAATTTATGCCCAGCAGATTGGGCTGCAAAGCTTATTCACGACTTTTGGGCTGGAAGATGATGGATTTTGGACTTGGGCTCTTCTTGGAACTTGAAGATGAGGTCCTAATCTTTAATTCAAGTCATTTTGGGCCTTTTTTGCAGCCTTGAAGGTCTAGAAACATGGCTATTTTTCTGCTAGATAGATTTACTTATCAAATTTAGATTGTGTTTTAAGTTATCCATTTGCTATTATATTTCCTATTTTTAGAAGATCCTTTTTAGCAAGGATTTTAATTGTAGTAGTATAAATAAGGTTATTTAGTCATTAGGGTTCTCGACGCAACATAATTGAGAGAACTTAGCAAAGCTTTGGAGAATTTCAGACTTTTTACCTACAAGGTGTTTTCAATCCTTTTTCTAGTTAATGATATTTTTCTTTAGTTTTTATTATGATTATGTGTAACTAGTCCTTTTGCTAGGGCGAGGCGATGTGCCTTAGCACGAAATGTGATTTTATTAATTTGGTTATGAATGGATGCATGTTTGCTTTGAATTATTGATCACCATGTTTAAACTATCTAGTTGTCTTAGTGATTCATGACTATTAGGGTATTTAGACAAGTAATTTAATGCAATTTATGTTCGAACATCACCTTAAAATTGAGGAGGGCCTCTTGTGATTAATAATTGTAAGTTCACTTGAGGCGAACATTACGCTCTTAAGGGTTGCATGGTTTTTCAAAAGGTTGCATGGCTTTGCATGTTTATATTTGATCTGAACATCACAGACGAATTACATGTTAGATATATGTTTTTAATTGAACATCGCGAGGAAAATATGTATTAGAAATACCTAACCTTCAAAGCATGTACTGTGGAAATTCATAAGTAATTGATAAAATTGCATGGAATTGTTAGTGGCGATAGCGGAACTCTAGTGTTTAAATTGCTTTCTAAAACCTTTTTCTTTTGTTTTCTTTACATTTCTGATTTATTTATATTGTTTTTATTTAAATTCGTTTTTATTATTTTAGGTCATATAATCAACAGTTTTCAAACTTTGTTTTCAAATAATTAATTAAGATTTGGGTTTTACACAAATTATTCAATCAATTCATGTCGAGAACGACCTTACTTGAGTTATTAACAATTACTTTATTCTTTTGCAAGTATTTTTATCCCTATTTTTGTAGTTGGTAAAAATCGTATCACGGCACTATCTATCCGATGGCACTATCTATCCAACACTTTCTATGCATGGACAGCTGGTTGCTCTTAGGAAAGGATATATATAACTTGGTCGATTCATATATTCGATCACGGAGACCAGTACAGCCAGTATTTGTAAAAAGGATAAAATAAACATCAAATTAAACGGGTAAAGAAGTTGCCTGGGCAAAAATAAGGCCATGCTATTAATCTTTGGCTTTTGCACACTTCACGTGAGGACCAATATAAGATTGGTTAATCCAAGTTCATGAAATAAAGGAGGTATCTGCCATTTACTTTAGCAGATGAAGATTAACTTCCAGGCAGGAAGGATCGATTAGTTTGTCTGACCCTAGCTCTGGAAAAGGGCTGAGAAGAAATTGCTAAATACACGATGTGGGCTATAGGCATGTAGTTGTAAACAACTGATATCACGTAAATTTCTTAGTCATTTTTGTCTTGTACAGTTTTTTCGTTGGAGCAGCTCGTTGGTTGGAGAATTCTTTTTCCAAAAACTGCCCGGTGTTCAAGGAGTACTCCATGTGTCATAAAATAAGTGGAGGGACACGAAAAAAATATATCATTTCATCTCTTGTATTATGACATATGGAATACCGCTTGAATAACCGGTACTTGAAAAAGGCTCTAGGTTGGTTGCCCCATAAAAATAACTATTTGGTGCGGCCCTACTTAGCCTAGCCCATTATATTTGTTAGGCAATCAACAAGGGCCCGTTTATTCAGACAAGCAAGAGCTCTTTTTGTTTTTGTGGAAGGTTTTGAGACGATGATCACTGATTGGCGGGTCGGAAGTTGAGAAATGGAGAAAGCATTGAAAATCTACGCGGAAGTTCTAAGATTGGTGAGGAGGTTGCCAAAGGACTCTCAACCTTACTACGCCAAGTACGCCCGCAAGAACTTCATCAATTACAGAGAGGTTGAGGCGAACGACGACCAAGCCCTCCATGAGCTCTTCCTCAAGGCCTACAATCACCTGGGTTCTCAACAAGGTACACACATTTGTCTTTCGTGTTTTTTTTTTTTTTTTTTTTTTTTTTTTCCTGTTTTCGACGCTTTCATGTGTGTTTCTGGTGAACCCAATTGGGGTTTCTTTCGATTGCAATACTCAGTGGACGAATCTGCAGCCGATAAGTTGAAGAAAATATGCTTCGTTTAGCACGCGTACGTGTACGATGTAATGCCCGAAAGGGTTTTTAACCACTTCATTTGAAGTTTGGGTTTCTCGTTTTGGTTGTTTGACATGCAAGTTATGTCCTGATGATGTTTTAATTTACTGTTTGAACTGAGTTTTGTAACAAAATGATAATAATTATACCAACAATAAAAAAGTCTATTACTTTAGAGATCGTTTGGATATACTTTCAAAACTAAAAGAATGTTTGGTGAAAATGTTTTTGGAACCAATTTTTAATAAAAATGCAAGTAAATCTTGGAAGAAGCACATTGCAAAAAGTAAGGTTTTAAAAATCATTATACGCTAGGCACGGATTTATGTAAATTTATTATATATCTTATAAATAAGTGTCTATTTATACCTAAAAAAAAACTATACTTGTATGGATAATAAAATAATGATAAAATGCAAAAATAGAAGTAGAAGAATGCACAAATTATATACATCCAAAACATTCAATATTTAAAAAACAGTAAGCATAATCATGATGAGGAGGATTTGGATGATAAACTGAATTCTTCTTGTTCATGAATCATGATCTTTGTATTGGATTAGACATAGACTAAATTATTTAACCTTATTGTATCAAGTTTATTTCTTTTCCTTGTATGTATCCCCTCAAAAGTGTTCCAATTCGTTTCACTATTGGATGAATTTGTAGTAAATCCATCATTTGCAAATTAGGTACACCATTTCTATAAGTATACCACCATGAAACCAAAAAAGAAAAAAGCACACAATTAATAATATATATATATATATATATATATATATATATATATATATAAGAACCGCCTAGGACCACCTAAGTGATGCCTAACTCTCCGTCTAGGAGCCACCTAGGGCCTCCTAGGTTCCAGTCGATTTTTCCAAACGCATTGCCCAAAATCAGGATAGGGCTCCACCACCTAGCGCCTAGGCGACCACCTAGACTGATTTTTGAAGTGCTTTTGAAACTCAAAAATATTTTCTCGAAAAACATTTTCAATCATTTTAAAAGCATTTCTAAACAAACCTTTAGTTAAAATGGCTATGCTTGTTCATCAAGTAATTGCACAGATGCTCTATGCAAATTGTTGGAGAGTATTTAACCATTAGAGATGCTCTATGCAATTTTAACATACAATATAATGCATTTGTTGAAAACCTATCTATGGTTGCCAATTTTGGCATCATGGAAACACTAGTTTAAGTATTTCTTTATCTAGTTAGAGTTGCCTTATGTAAGTAGCTATGTCACAAGGTAAAGAAATGCTTCTGTAATCACACATGTGACTCTAACCAACTCTTAGTGCAACAGTACCATACTTTTTACATACGAGAATATGTTCAGAATTTGAATTGAGTAAGTGATTCAGATTCAACTGTTAAACTCTTTTAAAACTTCAATGCACAATAACTCTAAAAATTTCAATGGACAATCAACCGTTGAACTCATATGTACATGACATACATGCACTCCAATATTCAACATTTGTACGTATATGTAAATCTAAGAGCAAGTCCACCGGAGGGTATAGCCCGGTGGAAAGGGGACCAAAAAAACCCAATAGCCAGCCTTTCTTGCTCCAGCCCGTGCGGGCAATTAGGCTAGGGGTGGGCCCGTGAGAGACAGGAGGCAGGAATCAACGGCCCGAGTGTCTGAGGGCGCTGATGCATCCTGACGTTAGCCACATTAACAAATTAATTAAAAAAAATGTAAAAAAATTAATTAAAAAAATGTATAGAATTAATAAAAAAATGTAAAAAAATTAATCCGGAATTAAAAAAAATTGATTTAATTTTTCTATAAATATATTATCATTATCTTCCACCTTACACCAAATTTTATATTTTCTCAAATACTTTGGGTTGTAATTTCTTATTTAATGACACGTGGCGCAACGAGACAGATTAAAAATCCTATCTAAAATTACAAATAAAATTATATTTTATTATTTTATAAAATAAAAATATTAATTTAGAAATAAAGATGCAAAATATAATTACTGTTTATTAAAGATAATCAAAGGAATTTAGTAAGCAGTTGCCTGAGGGCCTTCCACCACTGGAAGTTCTCTAAGATGACATCGGTTATGTATATATATGGAGGGGAGTCATGGGCGAAGCTGGTCCATTGGCTTGTAATGCTCTCTGAGCCTCTGACCTGAAGCTCTGACAAAGGTGACGAAAGACGAAACGTTTGAGAGTTTTGGGGTCAGGCAACACCGCGTTGGAGCTCGAAACCACGGTTTTCTCGGGCCCGGTGGGTTTGACTAAGAGTCCCCGAAAACCAAAGCAACTCCCCTCCCTTCCTCTAGGCCCACCCATCCCCTCTCTTTCCCTCTCTCTCTCTCTCTCTACAGTGTAGACACTCTCACTCACAACCATAAAGCAATAGAACAAAAACAGAGCACCCTCTCTCTCTGCCTCTCTCTTATCAACAAGAAGCTTCCGTTGTTTTCTCCTAAAACCCCCTTTGTCACTCTCTCCCTCTCTAACTTTCTCTCACTAAAAAGCTCAAAGCTTTTGGGTTCGGTGGGGCTGAAATGAAAATGGCGGAAAATGGTGCGTTCGAGGGGGATCATTTGGCGGTAACAGAGGGCCCTGGTTTCTCTCAGCTACTCTTCCCGGCTGACGAAGTCGTGAACCTTGCCGTGGACTCCGACCAGACCTTTAACTACACCCGCCCGTCTACTTATCCCACCCAGATTAAGCCACCCAAAATCCTCTGCTTCGGAAACTACGACCAAACCCACGGAAACGGCGTGGAAATTGGGTTTTTGGAAACCGCCAAGAAATCGGCCGCCGCATGCAGCGAGTCCTCATCCGTTTCTTCCACCGGCACCGCCAGCATCAACGCCTTGCCCAAGTCCAACAATGTCAGTTATTAATCCTTTTTTTTTCTTATAATTTTGATTCGAATTTGTTTTCAAAATTTTCTGACTTTTTTAATTTTTTTTTTGTTTCTTGGCAGAAAAGGCAAAGGGGTTCGGCTCCGATCAGCAGCACAGCTACTCCTCCAATCCAGAGAGCCGCTAAAAGGGCGAAATCCGAGAATCCCACATCGGCCGGCAACGGAAAGGTCCGACCCTTCAACAAAAACAGAACTCCAAAAAGTCATCTACATCTCTCTCTCTCTCTCTCTCCCCTCAAAACCCACTCTCTGCATGCTCTGCTCTCTCTCCCTCTCTCTTCCGTTTCTGCAAAGCAGAACAACTCCCTCTGTGATTTTACACATGGGTTCTGATTTTCTGCAAATTTACAGAGGAAAGAGAAGCTTGGAGAACGAATCACAGCGCTGCAGCAGCTCGTTTCACCATACGGCAAGGTGAAATTGCAAAACGCCAAATCAACCAACCCCAGTTACATTTTTTTCAACCATATTTTTGTAAAATTCACCTAAAAATCTGAATTTTTTTTTTTTTTGTTCTTCTGGGAAATTGGACAATTGAGTGTCTGCAGACGGACACGGCATCGGTGCTTCACGAAGCGATGGGATACATCAGATTTCTGCAGGAACAGGTTCAGGTGCTGTGCTCGCCTTACCTTCAACGCCTGCCTCCTTTACCTGTTCATGTAAGTACCAACCAAACGCACATCTCACTTTCACGTTTTCATTTTTATTTTATATTATGTGTATTTCCACGTCATCTTTTGACGGACGTGTACTTGGACGGTAGTCTTAGTGTGGGACCCACAGTGATAGTGACTTCACTGACTTTGGTCAAGTCATGGTAAATTTTAGTCAAAGGAGTGACTGCCAAAATTGCCATAATTCTTTCGATTTTTCTCATTTTAGAAAAGATAAGGTCATCTTTAATCGAATGATTCGGATGATCAGAAGGTCGAAAATAATTCAAAAATTATCTTCAATCAAGAGCCATGCCAAAGAACTAATGGGTCTAACTGGATAAAAAAAGGCCAAAGGGCCAACGGGACAGTTCAAATAAACTAGCCAACCGGACCAAAATTCAAATTGCAATGGCCAGCTAATTAGTATCAGCTAGGTTTTTTTTATTTTTTTTTAACAAAATTTGTTTAAAAAATTGTAATTTTGTTTTCCTATAACTTCTAAACTATTAAACATTAAATAACATTAAGTAACATGAAACAACATAAAAATTATACACCATAAAAATAAAATATTTAACAACATAAAATTTAAACAGCATTTTAAAAACATCTAACAACATAAAACTTAAACACCTACTTCATGCTTCTTTTGGCCCAAAGATTTGAATTTAAGTTGTAGTTTTAAAATAATAAATTATGTTTTATCCTATGGTCCTTTAGCTTTTGATTGGAAATGATTTTTTGTGACAGGGCTAAAACAAGTTCTATGCCCTTTGGCCCTCTGTTGAAATTGGTAAGAAATATTAATTTCTTGAAGGGCTAGAGGGTCAAAACGAGTCATTTGACCAGCTTTCGATTGGAGATGGTCTAAGTCAGAAGACTAAATTTTTTTAATTAAATTTACAAATTATATGATGTGATTTTAATAAAAAAAATTAACATGTTAATATTTAAATAATAATTTAACTATCAACAACTATAACCATTAAAACTTGACATAACTCTGTTGCAACTTAATTTCAAGTACCTAATCTCGCTCGAAGAATCGTGTTCTAAAGACTGACACCCGTGCACATGAATCCCATGCGGATATCAAGTTATACAAATAAGGATTGAATAAAGGAACTCTTGAACGTTTGGTGACCTCAGATGTGTCGATATCAACGGTAACTCATCATTTTAGAGAATCATTTCTTCAAATACGAAGAAAGATGTAGGGTCTAATGAGGCTAGTACAAAGCATTTACTCATGGGTAGGGCAAGCTCTTGACGAAAATTGAACATTGGACCAAAATTGGAACTAGAAGTAAATGGGAAGGGTAAAATGAAATATAGATAGAATTGCATTGACCATTTGTGAATTGTGGCCCCTTCATGTTGGTCACTTGTTTGCGTGTTTGAAATGTTTAGGGTGGAGAGGTGAAACAAGAAGGAAGAAGAAGCGAGCTGAGGAGCCAAGGACTATGCCTGGTCCCAATGGAGTACACAACGCATGCGGGGAACAGCAACGGTGCGGACTTTTGGTCACCGGCCATGGCCAACATTTATGATGTGTCATCTCCATCAACCAAATATTGAATGGAAGACTAGTAGAAACTAGAAAGAAACAAGTATGTATAGCTTATGCTAGTTAAGCTAGTCGGTAACTTGTCTTTTGTACATGGTCGGTGGCCTAGTGAGAGTGAGAGTGCTCGTTTTGGTATTTTACAGGCCTATGATATGACATGTTAAGTTTTGAGTAGAAAGATGAAAAGGAGAAAGACACAGGAAGAAGAGGAAAAGAGAAAAGGGGGGAAGCAGGGAAATTGAAAAATCACATGGATTCTGGATGGTAGTGGCTTTTTAGAGTTTAGGGAGGAAAGTTAAGAGTTGTAGGTGTGAGAAGGGTTTTTGTTTTTTCGGAATTGTGGAATCGTGGAAAAGAAAAGAAAGTGGAAACAGGAGGAAAATGTGGCTAGTTTATGGCATGTCTTACACCTGTAAATATCCTTGGGTTTACCAATTAGTAATCACCAATGCTATCTGGTGTAGATTTCTTTTCGCAGTTGTTGATTGCTTTTTCAGACACAAATAGCAAATTAGAGCATCTCTTTGGATGTCAAGATCTTAGGTGAACTGACATTGTGTATGTTTGACATCAAAAGTTTATCCAACCAGCTAACTAAATTTGAAAGCTTTGTGATTAAAGCATCTTCAAATGAAATGTCAAACTCTTAGGTGGAATGTTACTGTACATATTTGACATCAAAGTCTCTTCAATCGAAGTGTTGTTTGCTGACTATTTGAAGACTTTATGATTTGGAGTCAAATTTTGACATCAATGTCAAATTTATTTTTAACTCATTTTAATAGGGAGTCCCTTATTCCACTAACATTTCAACCAATAAAAATTTTGTTTCAACATTTTTTTAATAGATTCAACCATTAAAAAGTTCTATTTAAATAATAAAATAACATTTGACAATTCGGTTAGAGAAGTGCAAATTTGACATAAAATTTCAGATTGCTATATCAATCATCAATTGTAATTTGACATTTTCTTTAGAGATTCAGTCTTAAGAGTCAAATTTGATATCAATATGTATATACACGTATGGGTTTTCTTTCCATCACAACACACATACCTACACGAAACTAACTCCCCAACCCATAGAGAAAACGTACAAAGCTTTTCTTACATCACTTGTAAACTTTTATCCTTTTAAACATCCTTTGTGAACTTTTATCCTTTTCAACATCCTTTGATCTTTTGTATATCAACAAAAGAGCAAGAGTACATATTCAAACAATTCTCAAAGAGAAGATTAGTATAAATTTATACGAGAATTAACAAGACTGTGAAGAAGTAAAAGCTTTTTCTTAGTGTTATTAAACACCCCACATTTACTAGAAATGATAAAGAAGTTTGGCATAATATATTAGCAGCAAGTAATAATACTTTAGAGAATTTGAGAGAAGAAAGAAGAAAGAGAGCATCTAAGAAATCAGTTAGCAATAACATTAAACAAAGGTAAGACTTTAATTTATGATAGATTACCTTAATTTAGAAATTAGTGAACAACAAAAGAGAAAAATTACGCTAGACCAATGTAGTTTAGTTTGTTATTTTCCATTAAGAAAGTATAACCATATTTTGCATAGTTAAGAAAATTCTCAAGCAAATACTATTATAAATCTTATTATTAGTCAAGTTGAAAATATAAAATTAGAAAATAATAAGCATAATAATTTATTAAACTAGTTATTAGATTATTTTCAAAAAAAATTTGTAAATATTCAAAGATTTCCTAATAAGAAATAAAAGAGCTCTTTAATATTATAGATAGTAAGCCAAACAAGTAGAAATTAGATCACTAGAGAAAATTAAGCAACTAAAATTAGAAGATAAAAAAAATTAATTGATAAAAAAAATTAATTAGTAAAAAAAATAGCAACTGAGCAAGTAGATAAATTACATAATAAAATAAATAGACTATTAGTTTGATGACCGATTCCCAAAACAATAGAAATATATTCAAGCTTTGAAACAAATTAGTAAATTAGATAAATAACTAGTTGGTTTAATAGATTTTGCATCATAAATAGCCAGTAGTAATATTCCAATTAAACAAAATAATTTAATCATCCAAATTTATCCGAAAATTATATCAAGTTGAATTGAAGAAAAATAGACTGACAAAGGGAGTGTGATAAATCTGAAAATGACTGCCTACATATCTCCGAAAAGATGAATCAAATCACTGATGTAGTTCAAGAAAGATAATATAATGTAATAATTGTCATTGGGGATCAACTTTGACAAGTAGCTCATGGTGAGGCGAGAAGGAGATTAGTTCTCCAAGGACTTGTCTACACATAGTTGGGGGCATTTTAGCATAGTATCGTTTGAGCTCGGCGGTGTTCCATTGTTTGGTGGTCAGAATTCCATCCATACATTCCAAGTTGTAAGTTCCTTTGCCTTCTACTCCCACAATCTTGTAGGGGCTTTCCTAATTTGCTCCGAGCTTGCCTTTTAGGTATTTTAGTGTTCTCGAAGACTTCTCTTAGAGCTAGATCCCCAACCTAAAGGTTTCGAGGCTTGACGCCCTTGTTGTAGTAAGACCTAATCTGTTATTGTTAGGCTGCAAATCAGAAGCACATTCTCGACACTCTTTCGCGAAGTCAAGATCAAACTTCAAAATTCCGCCACTTTCTAGGGTAGTCCGTTCTTCGGTGTATAGGTTGGGCGTCACAGTAACTTGGAATAGGATGACAACTTTTGTTCCATAGGCCATAAAGAACGAGGTTTCTTCGATTGCTTTTCTACTGGTTGTTCAATATGCTCATAAGACTCCAGGCAGTTCTTTTGGCCATTTGCTCTTTTTCTCCAACCTTATGTTCAAGCATTGTAGGAAGTTTTTTTTTATTTTTATTTTTTATTTTTTTTTATTTTAAAACTTCCACTTACCCATTGCCTTGCATGTAGCGTAGGGTGAAGGTAAGATGGCGAAGGAAAACCAAATTCCTTATTGGTGTCTGTGACTTTGAAACGAGTGAACTATAGCTCTCTAATTTGCAACTAGGGTTCGTTTTACTTATTTATGATCATCCATTTGATGTGTGGTTGTGATCAAGTACTCCTAATATGCAACCTAGTTGTGATGTTCAACTTAGATTACCAATTAAGAATCCATTAAGAACAAGAAAACTTCAAAGAAACAGAGAAATCACATGGCAAGATGTTTGCATAGTAGTTTCTTCATTCATTCACATCCACCAAGATTAATCATGATGTGTACTATAACCTTGATCAAATAATTCATAAGTAGCCCTAATGGTGATCAAACATTAAGATTAACAAATAAATTAAACAATAAAATCACTGAATGAAACAAGAAAACAGATTGGTAATTTGAAAACTTTAATTTAATAACATAGAGTAGTTTTGCGAAGCTACATCAAAATCCCCAGCTATGAACTTAATTACACAACATGATCACATAATATATAGATATGAAGAGAAACATGAGTGAAATTATATCCATAAAAGAAACCCCTAAAGTAATTCTAATATGAAACTCCTTCAAGAACAGCGTGTTTGCATGGTTTCTTTGGTGGTAGCGGAAGGTGAACAGGAATACGGTTTTGTTTCTGGAAGAAAGGCCAAAGAAAGAGAAGAGAGAGAGCTCTAAGCGTCCCCCCTTGTGTAAAAGTGATGTGAAACCTTAGTATTTATATGTTAAATGAGGCTGCAGCAGATTGCAAGGTGGTCCTAACCATTAAGCTAAGGTTTTGAACGTTTTTCTTTATTTGGCTCCTCAAAATTAGGCTAGGGATTCCAATTCCTTTCCCATTATGCACTTGGTCTTCTAATAAGCCAGATTCACTTTGGATTCTTTATTTGGGCTTCAAAATAGGCCACCAAACTTCTTTCCACGGTTGAATAAGGGTTTGGCTCCAAAAATGGCATTTTTTCACTTCTTTTGACTTCAAATTGATCCTAAAGCACATGAAATTGCACACTAACACAAAATAGGGTAAAACACAACTAGTTTTAACTCTAAAACATCACAAAGAGACTAGAAATGGGTTGTATAATATATGAAATATATGAGTTATCAATTGTTGACCACAATGCATAATCGACGATTGACGCGATCTTTGCTAAAGCATCGGCGTGTCCATTCTCGCTTCTGGGGATCTGTTGAAATTTTGTACTTGCTAAAGCTTTCGAGTAATGCCTTGGCTTTGGTAAGGTAAAGTCCCATTGTCAGATGATGAATAGCGTAATCACCATTGACTTGATATACTATCAGCATGAAGTCGCAATGAACTGATGGCTTATTGACTTGTAATCTCGTCGCGATCTGTAGCCTGACTAGTAATGTCTTCTATTCTGCCTCGTTGTTACTGGCCTTGAACTCTAGCTTAATACATATTCGTTAGTTAACTAAACACAAATCTATTACTCAAACATAGTTTACTACAAGTTATCCTAGTCAACAACAATTCATTTTTTTACTCATAATATGCGGTGTAAACTTTGTCACAAACACATATCAAATAACAACTCATAGGTTGCATGTAACTTTTGCTAATAAATAAGATATGTGGACAAATTTAAGTAACAAAGAACACAAGAAGTTTCTTATCGGAAAAAAACCCACATCTAGGTTAAAAAACTTAAGACTCCATATAGTCCAATCGACTAGTGCAAATAAGGTTCATACAAAGTACCACATCAAGCTCAATCCTAGATTTAATCTATGGAGTAGCTTTACCTTTGTGCAATGTTACTTTGCACAAGATGGAGACCTTTTCGATCTTCATAATGAGGCAACTCCACCCTTGAACTCTTCTCCTTGTGGCACCGAGAGCAACACATCCAATGCAAATGATATTGTGGTGTATATGATATGAAATGTGGATTAACGACCAGTCAGTCTCTCCAGTCAAACAATTGAAAGAAGAACACCAATGTGAATCCAAACTAGGTCTATTTGAAGATTTGAAACTTATAATACTAGACCATGTACAAAGCAAACCTTAACTCAGAAAACATGTGCAGAGTTGCCACAAGTTCAATGCATGAGAAAATGTTATGCAGCTAGGGTTTCAAGTGAAAAACACAAGGGAAAGGTCAAAGCTTTTTAATGCACTCTTAAAAATCTAAAACTTTCTAGCCCAAAACAAATGAGTTTTTAAGAAGATTTACGCAAGTATTTTCATGGAAGTTTTATAAATATTCAATGAAGAACATTACCCAGAAAAATGCTTGATGCTGCTAGGGGATCTGAGATGGAGATAAAGACTTTATATAAAATTAATTGATCTCAACCAAAAAGAAATGAATTCCGCCAACCCTATTAAACAAAACCTTTGATTGCTGCAAACAAAGTACAAAAAGATACTTGTCAAATGTAAAAGCAGTCTGAAAGACCAATGGTGAAAAGCTTAATCCCGTATAAAAGGTGTCAGTCAGCCTATGTAGGCTGTCTTAAATTGTGTGCTTACCTCGCTGGAAAACAACAAGCAATTATGACAAGACAAG